TTTTTTTTTTATTATTATATGAATTTTTTTTAAAAACGGTTCAAATATTAAATTAAATATAATTTATTTAATTAAATTATATATATATATATTAAATATTTAATTAATTAATATATATATATATATATAATATTTTAAAAAATTAAAATTAATTATATTAATATATTATATATTTGAATTAATATACATTGTTTATTACTTAATTTTGTATTTAATATGAATATTATGAAGAGGAAAAAAAAGAAATTATTAATTGTTTATTAATTTCTATTAAATATTTTAATATAAAAAAAAAAAAAAAAAATTCTATTTAAAAAAATTTACATATAAATAAATTTTTTAGGTTTTGATAATTTATTTAAAGTTTATTTTACATATAAATTTTAGTATTAATTTTACTTTATTTTAATAATAATTTAATTAATTTGTAGTAATTAATATTAAACAATTTAAGTAATTAAGATTTAGTAATATTTAATATTAATAACAAATTTTGTGCCAGCAGTTGCGGTTAAACAAAAGTTAAATTTAAATTTTATTAGTTATTAATAAATAATTAAATTTAAAATAAATAATTTATTTATTTTTTAATATAAATAATATAAATTTTAAATTATTAAGTGAAATTTTAATTTAATTAAATATTATTTTTAATTTATGATTTAAAAAATTTTATAAAAAACTAGGATTAGATACCCTATTATTAAAATTTAAATTAGTAATACTAAAATAGTAAGTAATTATTTATTGAAACCTAAATAATTTGGCGGTATTTTAGTTTCTTTAGAGGAATCTGTTTAATAATTGATAATCCCCGAATAAATTTACTTAATTTTTTATTTTGTATATCGTTGTTAAAAAAATATTTTTTAATAATAATAATATTTAAAAATTTTAATTAAAAATTAAATTAGATCCAGATGCCGATTATAATTAAGAATATAATGGATTACCATAAATTTATTTATATGAATATTAATTTGTAAAATTTAATTGAAGGTGGATTTAAATGTAATTTTATTTAGTTTAATAAAATGATTGAAAATTAAGATATGTACATATTGCCCGTCGCTTTCATATGAATAAAAGTTGGAATAAGTCGTAACAAAGTAGAGGTACTGGAAAGTGTTTCTAGAAAGAACAAATTAGAGCTTGTTTTAAAGTATTTTCTTTACCTTGAAAAGAAATTAATATGATTAATTAATTTGAGTGGGGAAATTAAAAAATAGATAAATTAATAAAAAAATTTTTAAATTAAATTATTTTAATGGGGGTTAAAGTATTTTTAAAGAAAAAATTAATTAATTTATAGTGAATTAGTATTGTGAAAGAATTTTGAAATAAAATGAAAAAAAAAAATTAGTTAAAAGTAAATTTAATTTATTGTATCTTGTGTATCAGAGTTTATTAAATAAGAATTAAAAATTTAAAGTTCTCGAATTTAAAAGAGATAATTAATTATGAAAGTTATTGTTGCATAAATATTTTAAATAGTTAATTGGAAATGAAATGTTAATCGTTTTTAAATATATCTAGTTTTTTTAGAAAAAAATTTAATTTTATATTATTAAAATAAAAAATTAATTAATTAATTTTTTATTTTAATAATATTATATTTTAAGGGATAAGCTTTAATTTAAATTTATATAAATTTATATTAATTTTAATTAAAATTTTTATGATTTATATTGTTAATAAATTTTAATTTATTATAAATAATTTTATTTAAAATAAAATTTAATTTAAATTTTATATATTTATAAAAAAAAAATTTTAAATTTTATAAATTTGTTATAATGATAAAATTAGTATATATATATATATACATGTATTTAAAATTTTAATAATTAAATATTTATTTTAGTTAATAAAAAGGAATTCGGCAAATAGTTATATTCACTTGTTTATCAAAAACATGTCTTTTTGAATTTAATATAAAGTCTAATCTGCCCCCTGATATAATTTATATTAAAGGGCTGCAGTATATTGACTGTACAAAGGTAGCATAATCATTAGTCATTTAATTGATGACTTGTATGAAAGATTGGATGAAATATAAACTGTCTCTTTATTATTTATAGAATTTAATTTTTTAATTAAAAAGTTAAAATAATTTAAAAAGACGAGAAGACCCTATAGAGTTTTATATTTAAATTAATTAAGATTATTTATAAAATTTTTAATTGAAATTATTTTTAATTATTTTGTTGGGGGGACAAAAAAATAAAAATAACTTTTTTTAAATTTTAACATATATAATTGATTTTATGATCCATTTTTAATGATTATAAGAAAAAATTACCTTAGGGATAACAGCGTAATTTTTTTTTTTAGTTCGAATAAAAAAAAGAGTTTGCGACCTCGATGTTGGATTAAGATAAAATTTAAATGTAGAAGTTTAAAATTTTTGATCTGTTCGATCATTAAAATCTTACATGATCTGAGTTCAAACCGGTGTAAGCCAGGTTGGTTTCTATCTTTTAATAATTATAAAATATTTTAGTGCGAAAGGATCAAATATTTAAATTAAATTTATTTAATGAATATTATTAATTTATTTTAAATTTATATATTTATAATATATATATATATATATATATATATTTGCTATTTTGGCAGAAAAATGTAATGATTTTAGAATTCATTAATATATAATTTAATTATATAGATAGTAATTTTTATAAGTGATATTTATATAATTTTTTTAGGATTATTAATTTTAATTATTGGTGTTTTAGTAGGGGTTGCTTATTTAACTTTATTAGAACGTAAAGTTTTAGGTTATATTCAAATTCGTAAAGGTCCTAATAAAGTTGGTTTTATAGGAATTTTACAACCTTTTTCTGACGCTATTAAATTATTTACTAAGGAACAAACTTATCCTAATTTTTCTAATTATTTGAGATATTATTTTTCTCCTATTTTAAGATTTATTTTATCTTTAATAATTTGATTGTTAATTCCTTATTATTTTAATATAGTTAGTTTTAATTTAGGGGTGTTATTTTTTTTATGTTGTACAAGAATAGGAGTTTATACTGTTATAGTAGCTGGTTGATCTTCTAATTCTAATTATGCTTTATTGGGTGGTTTGCGTGCTGTTGCTCAAACTATTTCTTATGAAGTTAGATTGGCTTTAATTTTAATATCTAGAATTATTATAATTATAGATTTTAATTTATTATTATTTTTTTATTATCAAAATTATATTTGATTTATTATTTTAATATTTCCTTTAAGATTATGTTGAATAAGATCTAGTTTAGCAGAAACTAATCGAACTCCTTTTGATTTTGCTGAAGGAGAAAGAGAATTAGTTTCTGGGTTTAATATTGAATATAGAAGAGGAGGATTTGCTTTAATTTTTTTAGCTGAATACTCTAGAATTTTATTTATAAGATTATTATTTGTTTTAATATATATAGGGGGGTTTAGATTAAGAATTATATTTTATCTGAAGTTATTATTTATTTCTTTTTTATTTATTTGAGTTCGTGGTACATTACCACGTTATCGTTATGATAAATTAATATATTTAGCTTGAAAAAGATATTTACCAATTTCTTTAAATTTTTTATTATTTTTTTTAGGGTTTAAGATTTTATTATTATAATTTAATTTTTTTTAGTATAAATTAATAGAATAATAATTCTTTCTTAAGTTTTCAAAACAAATGCTTAATTAACAAGCTCATTAATTTAATTAAATAATATATTATCTCAATATTTATTGATAAATGGGTTAATAATAAAATATGAAAAATAAAAAATTGTTAGTAGTTGACCTGTTAAAATATATGGATCTTCAACGGGTCGAGCTCCAATTCATGTTAATAAGATAACAATTGTCACTATAGATCAAAATAATATTTGATTAATAGGGTAAAATTGAATTCCTTGGATTTTTTTATTAAATGTAAATGGTAAAATGATTAAAATTAAAATTGATATAACTAAAGCAATTACTCCTCCTAATTTATTTGGAATTGATCGTAAAATTGCATAAGCAAATAAAAAATATCATTCAGGTTGAATATGAACTGGGGTTACTAATGGGTTAGCAGGGATAAAATTATCAGGATCTCCTAGTAAATAAGGGTTAGTTAATGTTAAAATTGTTAATAAAAATAATATAATAATAAATCCAATTAAATCTTTGAATGTGAAGAATGGGTGAAATGGAATTTTATCATAATTTCTATTTAATCCTAATGGATTATTAGATCCGGTTTGATGTAAAAAAAGTAAATGAATTATAGTTATTATCATAATTACAAATGGTAGTAAAAAATGAAATGTATAGAAACGAGTTAAGGTAGCATTATCTACAGCAAATCCCCCTCAAATTCAATTTACTAGTATTACTCCTAATGAAGGAATTGCTGATAATAAATTTGTAATTACAGTTGCTCCTCAGAAAGATATTTGTCCTCAAGGTAAAACATATCCTATAAATGCTGTTGCTATTAATAAAAATAGAATGATTACCCCAATTATTCATGTATATTTTAAATTGAATGATTCATAATAAATACCTCGACCAATATGTAAATAAATACAAATAAAAAAAAAAGATGCTCCATTAGCATGTAATGTTCGAATTAATCATCCATAGTTTACATTTCGGCAAATATAATTAACACTATAAAATGCTATTTCAATATTGGCTGTATAATATATTGTTAAAAATAATCCAGTTAAAATTTGAATTATTAAACATAATGCTAATAAAGATCCAAAATTTCATCAAATAGAAATATTAGAAGGTGAAGGTAAATCAATTAATGATCCATTAATAATTTTTAATACTGGGTGAGATTTTCGAATTGGTAAAAATTTATTTATCATTTATATTAGTTAGATGAACGAAGAGGTCCATAAAAAATATTAGTAATTTTTACAATAGCAATTAATGTAATAAATAAGTAAATTACTAATATTATTATAATTAAAAATGTTTGATTATTATATAATTTACTTAAATTAATTTTATTTTCATTATTGATGAATATATATATATCATAAAATTTATTTATATCTGAATTTATAGATAAATTTATTCATGTTATATTATTGTTATATATTATTAATATAAAAAATATTATAATTAATAATAAAGTTAATATTTTCTTATAATTGAATTTGAAGTTAAATAATTGATTTGATGCAATTCTTGAAACATAAATAAATAAAACTAATAATCCTCCTAAAAAAGTAAGAAATAAAATATAAGAAAATCAATATGTTTTGATTATTATTCCAGATAATAAACATGTCAATAAAGTTTGTCTTAAAATTAATAATCCTATTGATATGGGATTATTAATAAATAATATAAATAGTGAATTTATTATTAATATTAAAGAAAAGAATATTTTTATTATTTCAAATACAAAGAATAGTTTAATTAAAATAATAATTTTGGAGATTATTGATAAAGAATTTCTTTTTCTTTGAAGTTTTTAAAGTATATAACTTAATTTTGGTTTACAAGACCAATGTTTTTTTTAAACTATAAAAACATATAAATGATAATTTTAAATATATGAATTGTTTTTATTTTAATATTTATTATAGGTAATTTAATTTTTGTATCTAAATATAAACATTTATTAATTGTTTTATTAAGATTAGAATTTATTGTTTTAAGAATTTTTTTTTTTTTATTAACATATTTAATTTTTATTGAGTATGATATATATATTTTAATATTATTTTTAGTTTTTTCAGTTTGTGAGGGGGCTTTAGGATTATCTATTTTAGTATCAATAATTCGTCCCCAGGGGAATGATTATTTTCAAAGATTTAATTTATTATAGTTAATTATATATATATATATATATATATATATATATATATTATTGTTAATTAAAATATGTAATGATAAAATTTTTTATGATAATAATTTTTATAATTCCTTTGTGTTTTATAAAAAATATATTTTGAATGGTTCAAATAATATTATTATTATTAATATTTATGTTTATGAATTTAGGTGTAAAATTAAATTTATTTTGTAATTTAAGATATATAATATCTTGTGATATTATGTCTTATGGTTTAATTTTATTAGGAATTTGAATTTCTATTTTAATGATTATAGCTAGAGAAAATTTATATAAAATAAATTATTATATTAATTTTTTTTTATTTAATGTTATTTTTTTATTAATTATATTATATTTAACTTTTAGAACTATAAATATATTTATATTTTATTTTTTTTTTGAGGGTAGATTAATTCCTACTTTATTATTAATTATTGGTTGAGGATATCAACCTGAGCGTATTCAAGCAGGTATATATTTATTATTTTATACTTTATTTGTTTCTTTACCACTATTAATTGGTATTTTTTATATAAATAATGAAATAAATTGTATAATTATTTATTTTTTAAAATTTTTTAATATAAATATTTATATATTATATATTTCTATGATTTTAGCTTTTTTAGTTAAAATACCTATATATTTTGTTCATTTATGATTACCTAAAGCTCATGTTGAAGCTCCTGTTTCTGGTTCAATAATTTTAGCTGGAATTATGTTAAAGTTAGGGGGGTATGGTTTATTACGTTTAATAATTTTTTTACAGGAAATTAATTTAAAGTTAAATTATATTTGAATTGTTATTAGATTAATTGGTGGGTTTTATATTAGATTACAATGTTTTTGTCAAGTTGATATTAAATCTTTAATTGCTTATTCTTCAGTAGCTCATATAAGAATTGTAATTAGAGGTATTATAATTATAAATTATTGAGGATTTATTGGTTCTTATATTTTAATAATTGGTCATGGATTATGTTCATCTGGTATATTTTGTTTAGCTAATATTAGTTATGAGCGTTTACATAGACGAAGTTTATATATTAATAAAGGTATAATAAATTTTATACCTTCAATAAGATTATGGTGATTTTTATTAATATCATCTAATATAGCTGCTCCTCCTAGATTAAATTTAATAGGAGAAATTAGATTAATTAATAGCTTAATAAGATGATCTTGAATTTCTATATTTATATTAATATTAATTTCTTTTTTTAGAGCGGGGTATAGATTATATTTATATTCATTTGTTCAACATGGGAATTATTATTCTGGTATTTATAGATATTATACTGGAGTATCTCGTGAATATTTAATATTAATATTACATTGATTACCCTTAAATATTTTAGTTTTAAAAATTGATTATGCAATAATTTGATTTTATTTAAATAATTTAATAAAAATATTGATTTGTGGTGTCAAAAAATATGAATGATTTCATTTTAAATTATTAATAATATAAAATATTCTAATTGGTTTAATTCATTTTTTTTTTTATTTTTAATAATAATAATAAATTTTTTTTTTATAATTTATTTTATTATAAATGATATAGTAATTTTAATAGAGTGAGAAATTATTTCTTTTAATTCATTAAGAATTGTAATATCTATTTTATTAGATTGAATATCTTTATTATTTATAATATTTGTTTTTTTAATTTCTTCTGTTGTTATTTATTATAGAAAAAGATATATAAGATCGGAATTAAATTTAAGTCGATTTATTATTTTGGTTTTATTATTTGTTTTTTCTATAATATTATTAATTATTAGACCAAATATTATTAGTATTTTATTGGGTTGAGATGGTTTAGGTTTAGTTTCTTATTGTTTAGTAATTTATTATCAAAATTTAAAATCTTATAATGCTGGTATATTAACAGCTTTATCTAATCGTGTAGGTGATGTATTTATTTTGATTGTAATTTCTTGAATATTGAATTATGGTAGATGAAATTATGTTTTTTATTTAGAGTTTATAAATAATGATTGAGAAATAATAATAATTGGTAGAATAATTATTATAGCTGCTATAACTAAAAGTGCTCAAATTCCTTTTAGATCTTGATTACCAGCTGCTATAGCTGCTCCCACTCCTGTTTCAGCTTTAGTTCATTCTTCTACTTTAGTGACAGCGGGGGTTTATTTATTAATTCGATTTAATATAATATTATTAGATATATTTTTTTTAAAGTTATTATTATTATTATCAGGTTTAACTATATTTATAGCGGGAATTTCTGCTAATTATGAATTTGATTTAAAAAAAATTATTGCTTTATCAACATTAAGACAATTAGGTTTAATAATAAGAATTTTAAGAATAGGATTACCTGATTTAGCTTTTTTTCATTTATTAACTCATGCTATATTTAAAGCTTTATTATTTATATGTGCAGGTATTATTATTCATATAATAAATGATATTCAAGATATTCGTTTTATAGGGGGAATTGGAGTATATATTCCTTTAACTTCTTTATGTATAAATATTTCTAATATAGCTTTATGTGGAATTCCATTTTTAGCTGGTTTTTATTCTAAGGATTTAATTTTAGAGTTAGTTAGATTTAGAAATTTAAATTTATTAATTTTTTTTTTATATTATATTTCCACTGGTTTAACAATATTTTATAGATTTCGTTTAATAATATATTTAATAGTAAATGATTTTAATTTATTAAGAATTTATAATTTATATGATGAAGATTATGTTATATTAAAAAGAATATTTATTTTATTGTTTATAAGAATTATTAGAGGTAGATTTTTAAGTTGAATAATTTTTTCTTATCCTTATATAATTTATTTACCTTTTAATTTAAAAATAATGGTTATTTATGTTAGATTAATTGGTGGAGTTTTAGGTTATTTTATTAGAAATATAAAAATTTATTCAATAAATAAATTTAAAATAACTTATACTTTAAGAAATTTTTTATGTTTAATATGATTTATACCTAATTTATCAACTTATGGGTTAAGATATCATTTTCTTAATTTAGGTCAATATTTGTTAAAAAATATTGATATAGGGTGAAGAGAAATTTATAGAGGTTTTGGTATAATACAATTAATAAAAAAATATTCTGTTTTATATAATGTTTATCAAATAAATAATTTTATAATTTATTTATTTAGATTTATTATTTGAATATTTATTATATTTATAGTATTAATATTTAATATTTAAATTTAAATAGCTTATAAATTAGAGCATAATATTGAAGATATTAAGGAAATATAATTATTTTTAAATATTATATATATATATATATATATATATATTTATAAAAAATTTTTTTTATTTTTACAATGAAAATGTAATGTTTTTTTTAAACTATATAAATAAGAAATATTAATGGAATTTAACCACTAAAAATTAAGTTAGCAGCTCAATTTTAATCTTTATATTTCTTAAGTTAAATTATTTAATTGGAATATTTATTCAATTTTATCATTAACAGTGATATACCTCTATTTGGTTTCAATTAAATATAAATAAGGAGTTAATTAAACTCTTTCTTTTAAGTCGAAATTAAATGCATTATTGCTTCTTATTTAAGATAAATTAATTTATTTAATGTTTTTTGAATGCAAATCAAATGTTTTTTTTAAACTATAATCCTAATTAGTTCAATTTAATATATTTTGGTTTCATTCGTGATATAAACCAATTAATAAAATTAAGATAAAAAAAAATCTAATTTTAGTTCAAAAAATAAAATTTACTAATTTAAATAGGGGGATAATTGGAAAAATTAATGCAATTTCTACATCAAAAATTAAAAAAATAACTGTAATTAAAAAAAAATGTAATGAAAATGGGATTCGTGCTGATGATTTAGGATCAAATCCACATTCAAATGGTGAACATTTTTCTCGATCTATAAATGATTTTTTTGATAAAATAATTGATAAAAATATTATAATATTAGAAATTAATATGATAATAATAAAAATATTTGTTATTAAAATAATTATTTATATTAAAATTATTAAACTTTTTGATTGGAAGTCAAATATACTAAATATATTATATAAATAATTAATTTCCTCATCAATAAATAGAAATATAAAGGAATAATCAAACTACATCTACAAAATGTCAATATCAAGCTGCTGCTTCAAATCCAAAGTGATGATTACTTGAAAAGTGATTATTTAAATGACGAATTAAGCAAATTAATAAAAATATTGTTCCAATAATTACATGTAATCCATGAAATCCTGTTGCTATAAAAAATGTAGATCCATAAATTCTGTCTGCAATAGTGAAAGGAGCTTCAAAATATTCATATGCTTGAAGAATTGTAAAGTAAATTCCTAAAATAATAGTAATAAATAAACCTTGAGTTATTTGAGAGTTATTATTTTCTATGATTGCATGATGAGCTCATGTAACTGATACTCCTGATCTAATTAAAATAATTGTATTTAATAAAGGAATTTGGAAAGGGTTAAAAGGAATAATATCAGTTGGAGGTCATATAGCTCCGATTTCAATATTAGGTGCTAAACTACTATGAAAAAAAGCTCAAAAAAAAGAAACGAAGAAAAAAATTTCTGATACAATAAATAAAATTATTCCTCAACGAAGTCCTTTAGTTACTAAAATTGTATGTTTACCTTGGTATGTTCCTTCTCGACAAATATCTCGTCATCATTGATATATGGTTAAAATTACAATAAAATATCCTAAAATTAATAAATTTATATTAAAATTGTGGAATCATTTTACTATTCCTCTAACTAAAACTATTACTCCAATAGCTCCAGTTAAGGGTCAGGGACTATAATCTACTAAATGGAAAGGATGGTTAAAATTTGTTTTCATTAATTTACTTCTCTAGAATATAAAGTTCTTAAAATAGCAATTACATATGATTGAATAACCGCAACTGCTGATTCTAAGATTAATAATAAAATTTGAATTATTACTAAAATTATAATAAAATAATTCGGTATAGAAGGTCCAGTTCCTCTTAATAAAGTTATTAATAAATGACCTGCAATCATATTAGCTGTTAATCGAACTGCTAATGTTCCCGGTCGAATAATATTTCTAATAGTTTCAATTAATACTATAAAAGGTATTAAAATAGTGGGTGTTCCTTGAGGAATTATATGAATGAATATATGTTGAGAGTTATTTAATCAACCATAAATTATGAAACTTAATCATAAAGGTAAAGAAATAGATAATGATAAAGTTAAATGTCTTGTTCTAGTAAAAATATAAGGAAATAATCCTAAAAAATTATTAAATAAAATAAATGAAAATATTGAGATAAAAATGAAAGTTGATCCTTGAAAATAATTATTTTTTAATAAAGTTTTAAATTCATTATGAAGTTTTAATAAAATGAAATTTCAAAGTAAAAAGTGACGATTAGGGATTAATCAAAAAGAATAAGGAATAAATATAATTCCTAAAATGGTTCTAATTCAATTAAATGAAATATTAAATAAATTTGTTGAAGGATCAAAAATTGAAAATAAATTACTTATCATTTTCAATTAAAATTTTTTAATTTTAAGTTTAAATTTTTATTTAATTTTAATCTTTTTTTATTAAAAATATAATAATTTTTAATTTTAAAAATTAAGAAAATAAATAAAAAAAAAAAAAAAGAAATTAATCAATTAATAGGTATTATTTGAGGTATAAAAGAATATTATTTAATAATAATAATTTAAATTTGACATATTTATGTTATTTTTTAACTAATTCTTTTCATTAGAAGTAATTGCTAATTTACTATAAAATGGTTTAAGAGACCAGTACTTGCTTTCAGTCATCTAATGAAGAATAATTATTAATTCAATTAATGAAATTTTTAATTGAAATTCTTTCAATTACAATTGGTATGAAACTATGATTAGCTCCACAAATTTCTGAACATTGACCATAAAAAATTCCTGGTCGATTAATAAAAAAATTAGTTTGGTTTAGACGACCAGGGTTTGCATCTACTTTTACTCCTAATGAAGGAATTGTTCATGAATGAATTACATCTGTAGCAGTAACTATAATTCGAATTTGATTATTTATAGGTAAAATAATTCGATTATCAACATCTAATAAACGAAAATTATTATTTGATATTTCATTAGGTGAAATTATATAAGAATCAAATTCAATATTATGAAAATCAGAATATTCATAGCTTCAATATCATTGATGGCCAATAGATTTTAAAGTAATTAAAGGATTATTAAGTTCATCTAGTAAATATAGTAAACGTAAAGATGGTAAAGCAATAAAAATTAATGTAATTGCTGGTAAAATAGTTCAGATTAATTCAATTATTTGACCTTCTAGTAAAAATCGGTTAATATATTTATTAAGTAAAAGACTTGATATTAAATATCCTACTAAAATTGTAATTATAATTAAAATAATTAAAGTATGATCATGAAAAAAAATAATTTGTTCTATTAAAGGGGATGCTCTATTTTGTAAATTAAGATTAGATCATGTTGCCATTTCTAAAAAAAGGATATTCCTTTATAAATGGGGTTTAAATCCATTACATATAATCTGCCATATTAGAAGTTACTTAAAATAGGCAATTCATTATATGAATGTTCAGCTGGTGGTAAATTTTGGTATCATTCAATTGAAGAAGATAAATTTAAAGTAAATAATGAAATTCGTTGATTAATTATAGATTCTCAAATAATAATTAATATAAATAAAATTGCTAATAATGAAATATATGATCCTAAAGATGAAATAATATTTCATGAAATATAAGAGTCAGGATAATCTGAATAACGACGAGGTATCCCAGCTAATCCTAAGAAATGTTGAGGAAAAAAAGTTAAATTTACCCCAATAAATATAATAAAAAATTGAATTTTTAATATATATGGGTTTAATGATAATCCAGTAAATAATGGATATCAATGAATAAATCCTCCTAAAATAGCAAATACAGCTCCCATAGATAAAACATAATGAAAGTGAGCGACTACATAATAAGTATCATGTAATGTAATATCAATAGAGGAATTAGATAAAATTACTCCTGTTAATCCTCCTACAGTAAATAAAAATACAAATCCTAATCTTCATAAAATAGATGGTGAATAATTAATTTGAGTTCCATGGAAAGTAGCTAATCAACTAAAAATTTTAATACCTGTTGGTACAGCAATAATTATTGTTGCTGATGTAAAATATGCTCGTGTATCAATATCTATTCCTACAGTAAATATATGATGAGCTCAAACAATAAATCCTAATAAACCAATTGCTAATATGGCATAAATTATACCTAAACATCCAAATGTTTCCTTTTTACCTCTTTCTTGTGAAATAATATGGGAAATTATTCCAAATCCTGGTAAAATTAAAATGTAAACTTCGGGATGTCCAAAAAATCAAAATAAATGTTGATAAAGAATAGGGTCACCTCCTCCTGCTGGATCAAAAAATGATGTATTTAAATTTCGATCAGTTAATAATATAGTAATAGCTCCAGCTAAAACAGGTAAAGATAATAATAATAAAAATGCAGTAATTCCTACAGCTCAAACAAATAAAGGTATTTGATCAAATGATAAATTATTTAATCGTATATTAATAATAGTAGTAATAAAGTTAATAGCTCCTAAAATAGATGAAATTCCAGCTAGGTGAAGGGAAAAAATAGCTAAATCTACTGATCTTCCACCATGAGCAATATTAGAGGAGAGGGGGGGGTAAACTGTTCATCCAGTTCCTGCTCCATTTTCTACAATTCTACTTGAAATTAGTAAGGTTAAAGAAGGTGGTAAAAGTCAAAAACTTATATTATTTAAACGTGGGAAAGCTATATCAGGAGCTCCTAATATTAAAGGTACAAGTCAATTTCCAAATCCTCCAATTATAATAGGTATAACTATAAAAAAAATTATAATAAAAGCATGAGCTGTTACAATAGTATTATAAATTTGATCATCTCCAATTAATGACCCTGGAGTTCCTAATTCAGCTCGAATTAGTAAACTTAAGGAAGTTCCTACTATTCCTGCTCAAATTCCAAAAATAAAATATAATGTTCCAATATCTTTATGATTTGTTGAATAAAGTCATTTTCGCTATTAAAATAAAATGGCTGAGTTAAATAAGCGATAAATTGTAAATTTATTTACGAGAATATTCTCTTTTATTATAGTCTTATATTCAAAAATGATATAAAATTGCAAATTTTAAGGAATAGTTATAATTCTATTAAGGCTTAAAGAAATTTTCTTTATAAATAATTTTGAAGATTATTAGTTTAATTTAACTTAAAACCTTAATAAAAAAATAATGTTCTTAAAATTATTCCTATAATAGAAAAAAATGAAAAAAAATTAATAATTAAAAAATATTTATTTTTAATATAAATTTTAAATCATTTATTTTTTATATAATTAAATATAATTGCTGAATATCTAATACGAATATAAAAAAATAATATAATTAATCTTATTATTACAAAAATAAAAGTTATTAGATATATATTATTATTAATTAAAAAATTAATAATAATTCATTTAGGGAAAAATCCAATAAATGGGGGTAACCCTCCTAAAGAAAGAAAATTAATTAAGATATTGATTTTAATTAAAAAATTTATATTGTTAATAAATAATTGATTAATGAAATATATATTTAAAATATAAAAAAAAAAACATATAATACTAATTATAAATGAATATATTATAAAATAAAAAATTCATAAAGTTTCTCTAATTGAAATTGATATAATTATTCAACCTAAATTATTAATAGAAGAAAATGCCATTAATTTTCGTAATGATGTTTGATTTAAACCTCCAATAGCTCCAATAATAATATTAAAGATAATAATAATATTAATAAAATAATTATTTATATAATATGATATTAAAATTAGGGGTGTGATTTTTTGTCATGTTATTAAAATAAAACTATTTAATCAAGATAATCCTTCAATAATATTGGGGAATCAGAAATGGAATGGAACTCTTCCTATTTTTATTAATATTGAAGAATTTATTATAATAGCTAGAAAATTATTTATTTCAAAATTTTTTATTAATGATAATTTAATTAAAATTGAAAAAAGAAAATTTAATGATGCAATTGATTGTGTGAGGAAATATTTTAATGAAGCTTCTGTTGAAAATAAATTATTAGAGTTAGAAATTAGGGGGATAAAACTTAAAAGATTAATTTCTAATCCAATTCAACATCCAAATCAAGAATTAGATGAAATGGAAATTAAAGTTCTAAAAAACAAAATAAATAGAAAAAATATTTTATTAGAATTAAATAAATTATAAATTTAAAATAAGAAATAATTAATTTCTTTTAAGAATTAAAAATTCAATATTATATTTTAGTGTAAGATGCATAATAGTTTTTGATACTATTGGATATAGTTTAATTCTATAAAATATAATAAAGGTAATAATAATTACTTAATTTATCCTATCAGAATAATCCTTTAATCAGGCACTTTATTTTTAAAAAAAAGGGATTTCCTTTATAGTTGGGGTATGAACCCAAAAGCTTTATTTAGCTTATTTTTAA